AACCAGTTAATAGCTGCTAACAAAACCAGTTAATAGCTGCTAATAAACCAATTAATAGCTGTTAACACTAGTTAACAGCTGCTCTCAGGTTAACCTGCAGTAAGTGGAAATAAACATTTCTGTTATTCATGTTATTGAAATCTTCAGGCTGCAAGCGAGACAGAAAATACATTAAAACAGTCAAATACTGTAACAGCAAATATCTGTGAAATAACAATGTTGTTTGGCTGATTTAAATACAGTGAAGCAGTAAAATTTTATGGTCAGACATTGTGAAAGAACAAATTACTGATTGTAAACATCCAGGTTTTGATGTTGATGTTATCTACAGTTTCCTTTTTTCTGATAAATGTGTCTTTTTCTTGATATTATATGTCATAGGTGTCAACCAATTATTGACGCAGATATTGAGCATTTTTAGATTATCGTTATTTTTATTGGCTGATTATAGGAAAATAAAAAAATCCACTTGGATTCTAATTCAGCAGCTCTCTCTCTGTGGTCAACAACATCCTGCCGACAGCGCCATCTGATTGGCTGTTACATGTCCTGAGCAACGGCCAATCACAACCATTGTTTACACAGAGAGACAGAAAGAGAGCATTGCAGTGCCACTGCAGCAGATCTGGTGCATTAGCAGAGCTGTGTTTTAATGTGAGGTTCAATAAACTCTGCAATATTACACAAGCTTTCATTCACAGAAAGACCCCAATAATGCTGCTAGGCTACGGGTAGTGCAAAGAGGTTAGCTGTGCCTCCTAGCCTGCAGCTAACACTATCTGAGGCACCGCAACATCTTTCTAAAGTCAGATTAACTTTAACACTTTATTCTAACTGACCGACACGTCTCTTCAGCAGAGAAACAGCCTGCAAAAAAACTGAACAGGAAGCACAAACTTCTCCAAAAATCAGGACGTTAGCGGCTTTCATGGCTCGCAGCTAAATGAGGGGGCAGATACAGATTAACGTGGAACAGAGTCTGGAAAACAATATTTAATAGTGTTTTAAAACATGAACCGTAGTTGACAATAACAGTGAGCAACAAAACCGCAAGAGACGGATAATGTCAACGGTTATTGATCTCGATCAATTGATCAGTAAACAGGAGAGTCGTCTATATCGATTCCAGATATTGGCTTTTATTTGATTATCAATGACTGATATTGACAATGGCCTAATTAAACCCATAAGAGTCCCTAATGTGTCATTTCACAAAACAGGGAAAATCTGTGATAAAGTGAGGAAATGAAGGAAGGAAGGAAGGAAGGAAGGAAGGAGATGAGGCAGGAAGAGAGAAGGAGGGAAATGTGGACCAGATGAGAAACAAAGCAAGGATGAAAGTTGGGGGGAAAAAACAAAAACAACTAGGAAACAGATGAGTGAAAAGCCAGCGGAGGTGAAGATGGAGGATGCGGCGCTGTCTCCCGTTTCCACGGTAACGCGAGCAGAATTCAATGGAAGCATCACGTCCTGCCGAGAGCTGAGAGCAGCGTAGGAGGCTCGGTACTATTATTTATGTTTGATTCACCTGCTTTTGTGTCTGCCATTCATGGACTCCCAACTCCCACGTTTTTACAGGTTTACCTGATTAATCCCAAACATCCAGCAGCACAAACCACTCAGGCGTTTAAAAGGAAGCTGACAGAAGGACTGGTGACGAGGTTGCTGCCAAACAACCGATTTAGTTCAGTGTCTTGTGAAAAAAGTGGAATATTTAGCAGCTAAAGAGTCGAATGTTTGTTTATTTGTACGGGCTGGTGGAGACCAAAGCAGAGCTAAAACTTAAAACATCATTAAAGATGCTAATGCTGCAGCTATTTGCTAACATGTTGGCTGTTATGCCGCTGCCCCCACTTGGCCAAAAAAAACTACTTTTAACACGCTAGCCAGCTAAATATTAACTACATGCTAAACTTCTGCACATTAACCCTCTAAATATACATATTATATGTACTAATATGTATATATACATAAAGTCCTGCACTTCTACCGAAACGGAACAACCATGAAGAAGGAGAGAGAACTCAGAAATGTCTTCTGTTCTCTGTGACACAAATATAATGCAATAAAAATCAAATACAAAGAAATTAGGGTTGAATGTCTCTAATTATTTAGTTTAGAAAAATGAAAAAAGATGGAATCTGCATGTCCAGCAGTTTTCCAAGTGTCCACAGCTGTTTACAACACTGTAAATTAATGGAGGCTCCACATGTTATAGATGTTTAACTATCGCCATGTCTGTAGTCTGTCTCTAAGTGTAGCCCTGTGATGGACTGGTGACCTGTCCAGGTGAACCTGCCTTCACCCTGAGTCAGCTGGGATGGACTCCAGCCCCCCATGACCCTGGTGAGGATTAAGGTGTAGAGATGATGGATGGATGAATCTTGCAGAACAATTTAAACTTTTTTTTTCTCAACTCAGTTTTTCTTTGTTGACATATTTCAAGTCACTCTGCAGCATGAAGTTGTAAATAGGCAGGTTTAACTATTGAAGACCTGAAACACTGAGCTGAGAAAATGCAGATCAGAGCTCAAGATGTATTTTTGTTGAATGTACGAGAACCGAAAACTAAAACAAGAACAGCTTTCTCTACCAGCCAAACTGCATCTGCTGCTATAAATCCTACCTTGGGACTGATATCTGAACATAAACCTAAACTAACTTCCAAAAGTCTGATCTCCCGCTGAGGCGGACGCAGCGCGACAGTAAACGTTTGGCCGGTGTGTTCGGGTGCGGTCGTAAAGGGGAGTTTCCCCGTCAGCTGCTCCGAGCGTCAGACACTGAGCTCAGTGTTGGAGCCTCAGAAACCTCCTACTGTCTGCATCCAGATGGTCAGGAAGAAACCGGGCTCCGAGTCCGTCCTCACACCTGCTACGAACACGAGCCGGGACCTCCAGACGTAATAGTTCCACCTCGTAAGAATGTGAAACAATCAGGAGGTAAAAACCGCTCAAACACAAAACGCTGCAGAAGCAAAAACCTCATGAATTATTGCATAAGCGAGGAAGTCAACGAGAGGCCAGCGCAGACGGAGAGACGGAACCGACGGCGGTGAAGAAGCGCGGCTGTGAAAAGCGTGTTTGTGCGTTTGAATCCTGATCCCCTGATTACTATGCAGCTGCTGACTTTTCCAGCCTTTTCTTTGAAGTGAGGAGCGACGAGAGCTGCTTTGAAGTGACATTAAAAAAACACAGAAGAGGACGAGTCGCACAGCGGCGGTGGTGGCGTCATTACGGCTAATTAACCAGAGATCCTGGAGAGGAAAAACTCGCTGCTTTGTTGTTTCTTCTTTTGTGTAAAAAAAACTCGTCGTCTCCGGGTTCGTTTTCGGGTCACTAATGTGGTGATTAGTTCGAGGGCTGTACGTGTGCTGACCTTTTGTCTGGAGATTATAACGCACAGCTGAACGAAGCGGCGTGACAAAGACAGAAACACACTGAGGATGATATCACGCAGCTTATGTTCTCCTTGGTTCTGTTTAACACATCAGAGAACAGCAAAATAAATAGGATGTTGATGTTTAAATGTGAATCAATACATTTTCATTTAACCTGCCAGTGGGTTTGAAAGGCACCTTATCTGTTTAAAAATCACCAAAATTAGAACATTTATCAGACCCTGAAACTGTAAAAGCAGAAATAATCGTCAGGTTTTTAACTTTCCGTCAGTCCTTGAACTACTCATCTGTGACTGGCAGCTCTGTGAGAAAAAAAAACCCAATCTAAGCTTAAAACTGTAATATTCCATCGTCATCACTTTGTTTTCCATCTTATTCAGAAACGTACCAAAAAAAAATCTGTTTCTGAATGAAGCAAAAAAAAAAAAAAAATCTGTGTTTTCAGGTTGAACTGCAGTCAGTGTTTCCTCAGAGAGACTGAGAGGAAAATAAAACCTATAAATAAATGCAGCATGGATCAGAACCAGAGAACAGAGGAGCCAGTTGGTGGAGATACATCCAGCATGATGGAACATCTTTCTACATCTGATGAGTAGAGCAGAGAGGAAAAGTCTGGAGAGGTGTTAGTAACACCATGGGACTTGCATGGGACATGGGAATTGCCTGAAATAGCACAATAGTGTCCAAAATGACTTGAAAATTGTCATTTTTTAACAAATTTTTTGGTCATTTTGAATATTTTGGGGGGTAATTTTAGACAAGTTTATGGTAATTTTGGACAGTTTGAGTTATTTTGGAAGATTTTTGAGTGAGTTTCGAAAAGTTTCAAGTCAATTTGGTCAATTTTATGCGACTCTGAAGAAGCTTCAAGTTGCTTTGGACAAGTTTTTTTGAGTCACTTTCAACCATTTTGGCGACACTTTGGACGAGTATTTGCAATTGTTGTCATTTTTGAGGTCATTCTTGGCAAGTTTTGAGTCATTTTGGACAGGTTTTTACTATTTTTGACAAATTCTGAATCACAATTTAAACTCTTTTTGTCTTTGCTGAACTCTGGTATTTCAAACTACTGCAGATATTTAAGTCACTCTGCAACATCCAGCTGTTAGAAGATACCTGGCAAGCTTAGCTAGCTGGCTTTTTTTTAAGTTTGACACTCATTTTGGCCAAATGTTGATGCACTTTCAAGAGTTTCCGAGTCACTTTAAACCATTTACAGGGCACTGAAGACAAGTTTTTGTAATTTTATGACAATGTTTAGGTAACTTTGGGCGAGTTTTGAGTCGTTTTAGGACAATCCTGGCATTTTAGACAAG